GGCTCTCGGGATTCAGAGTCCGGGGTCTCAGCTGGCCCGGAAGGTGGCCCTCAGATCGCGATGCGCCGCGCACCATCCCCACCCACCATCCCCACCCCCCATCCCCCCACCCCCCGCGCCGCGCCACGCCCTCTGTCCCCAGGGCAGTTGCTGCCCAGACTGGGGAAGAGCAGCGACTGAGGTCACTGGGGATGAGCAGCGACCCCCGGCATTGCTCCCCCAACAGGTCGCACCCCGCGTTACACAATCTGATAAGAAAACTTAATACAGATAAATGTAAAGTCCTACGAAAAAAGATTCTATGAAAGAATTGGAAGAGCAGGACGTTAAAAAGTGGGAGAACATGGACAAAATAACTCAAGAATTTTAGCTGATTACAATATCAATAATAAAAGGTAACATGTATAGCACTTAAATGCCAAGGACCATTCTAAATGCTTTACATGTATGTATTTATTTATTCTGTATAACAATCCTGTGAGATAGGTGCTATTATAATTCCCATTTTGCAGGTGAGAAATCTGAGTCCCAAAGTAGTTACATAATTTACTCAAGGTACCCAGCTAATAAATTGTAGAGTCAGAACTTAAAACCAAGCAGGATAGTCCTAGAGTTCGTCGTCTTAACTAGGGCATTATTATGAATTAACAGAGTGTTGTGGTTGCAAAGAAGTGTTGACGCAAAAACGTCCAAACCTGTAAAGAATTTTTATAAGAGTTTATTTGAGCCAAGCTGACAGCATATGCTGGGGGAGATGATCTCAAATGATCCAAAGAAAAACAATCGTATAGTTTCTTTTATGCATTTGAAATTAAGGAGGGAATATAAGGAAATTTACATATTGGTGGGAGAAAGCAAGGCAGGAATAGGACTACAAGACAGTTAAGATAATGTGCTCTCTTGAGAATTAATACCCCCTTCTAGGGGTATTATTTCTGGTATTTCGAAGGTGTGTTAACCTAGATGCACAACAACGATGAACAGAACCGGCATAAAATTTTCACTAAAGAAGTTATAGGTCTGGGGCATAACTACTCACCATGACCTGCCTGGTTAGGAATTTATGGTCAGATCACTCTGTGAGGTTACTTTCCATAGAACCCCCTTTTTAAATTCATAGTAGCAAGTCCACTCTTTATCTTTTAAAAAAATTTTTTTTCAATATCCTTACCCAAGAATGTTTCTTGATTTTAGAGAGAGAGGAAGGGGGAGAGAGAGAGAGAAACATCGATCAATTGCTTCCCACTGGTGCCCTAACCAGGGATCAAAACTGGAATCTAGGTAGGTATGTGCCCTGAAACCACAACCTAAATATGTGCCCTGACCAGGGATCAAACCCGTAACCTTTTAAGGTATGGGATGGTGCTCCAATCAACTGAGCCATCAGGCCAGAGCGAGTCCACTCTTAATACTAAAGTGCATGCTTTCAAATCTTCTCTCCTGGTTTATACCTAATTTTGGAAACCACACTTAATCAAAACAACAAAATTATTAGAAGTTAAAGACTGAGAAGATTATTTCTAGACAAGAAAAGAACCAGTAGAATATAAATATCTTCAAATATCTGAAAACCCACATACAGAGGAGAGTACTAGAACAAGTGAAGGTACAACTTCTAGTTCAGCAAAAGAAATAATTTTAGTATATGTGCTACCAAAGTGAGCTAAAAGACATAATTTTATAAAAATCAAAATTGTCCAAAAATCTTCACCTTAGAAAATATGAAACTTTTAATCTCTCCAGAAAAAAAATATGCAAATACATATAATTTTGCATTAGATTTCCAAGAGTTAAAAGTCTACTTTTATATCTACTCATGCTCCACCCCTAGAATCATGTACCCCAGAGTAACATAGAAAGGTACAGGATAAAGAGGCAAGTGCATTTACTAATTTTCATCAGTTCACTAACGAGTTCACCCGCATCCACTTGAAAGTGCGCCTTGCTTCTCTCTCAGCAGTGTCCTGGGGGAGTTGCACACAGGGGCAGCGGGTAGCTACAGTCTGCCCCAGGCTTATCCCCTGATCCTGTCCCCAAGGACACAAGTCCTGGCCTGTTTCTTTTCCTCTACCTAAATAAAACTTGCTTTTCCTCTCAAAATAATGTTGTAATAATAATAATCTTTAAAATTCATTACAACTTAAAACTCTATGATCTAAAAATACTTTCGACTCTATGCTTCCTACTTTTTTCTGAGATTCATCATGATACATGTTGCAATGAGTTTAAATATGACAGTCAAAAAAAAGTCAAGTTTGCCAAGTGACAATATAAACTATGAGTAAATTTAAAATAGTAAGGCTTATTATTCAACCTTTAAATGAAATATGCCTAAGTTTAAAGATAAAAAATAAGATGCTAATGTACAACTTAGTATCTAATATTTAATGCCCAAATTAGAAATTCCCCTCCTCTGCTTTTAAAACTTCATCTTAAATTTCCCCTTTCCATCCTTTGTTCCTAATTAATTGTTAAGACTGACAGACCAAGAAACAATGGCCTAGAAGTCAGAATACTTAGGTTCTAATTCATTAACTTTGTCATGAATTTAATTTTGTCTTAGTCCATCGCCTCATCATGTTCTAAAAACTTTCACATATTTAAAAGGGCTTTTAAAATGGTGGAGTGCTATAGAAATATAAATAACTCATGTAATTATCAACAGTAAAACAAAGCCAGTCTTTCTATCGCGTTAAAAAAAAAAGAGCAAATGGACATTCACATTTCAATTCCAAATTATAAAATGTAACCTTTGACTCCTTAGGGTATGTTTTAATGTATAATTTTCATCTACAAGTACTTTCTACATTAAGAATAAACATATCGGTATATTCAACTTTAAGTTGTATTGAGAGGACATAGTTCAGACAGTTAAGAATTTTGGCTACAAAAGAAAAACTTGAAGGTGCCAGTAAGCTGCACATTTACAAGAGATGAAAGGAAAGTTACATTACCACGAAATGGTCATAAAGTATTACACGCTTAAAAAATCCATTTCCTCTCTTAAACTGCTAGAAATAAAGAGAACTACAAAGTTGGGAGTTTAATAATTCTTGTGCCTTTATTAACGAACAGAAATGCCACAACACTGAAACTGCAACTGTCGTGCCAGAACAGTACGGGAGACGCCATGTCTGCCACTATGCTACTCAAGATCCAAGCACAAGATGTTCTAACAAACCACATGTATCTAGCAGCAGTGCAAAAGCAGGAGAGAATCCAAGCTCTAGGCATTTGATTTTTCTCCTTGGTGCTACCTGAAAATGGATGCTGCTATTAAAGATTTATTCTAGTAATAGGATAGTGATAAAGGTTTAGCTAAATTATAGGCTAACCAATGAAATGGAAAAGTAACATGCACTATCAGAACAACTAAATTATTTTATTTTTTAATCACTTTTATTGATTATGCTATCGCAATTGTCCCAATTTTTTCCTCCTTTGCTCCCTTCTCCCCACTCCCTCAGGCCATCCCCACACCATTGTTCCAGGCCACAGGTCAATCTATAAGTTCTTTGGCTACTCCCTTTCCCATACTGTACTTTACACCCCCAGGGCTACTCTGTAACTACCTATTTATACTTCTTAATCCCCTCACCTCTCCACCCCTTCTCCCACACCCCTCCTCCCATCTGACAAATTCAAAAATTCTCCATATCCATGATTCTGTCTCTGTTCTTCTCGTTTGCTTAGTTTGTTTTTTGGATTCAATTGTTGACAGATATGTATTTATTGCCATTTTATTGTTCATAGTTGTGATCTTTTTCTTAAATAAGTCCCTTTAACGTTTCATATAATAATGGTTTGGTGATGATGAACTCCTTTCAACTACATTATTTTATATTTAATTTTGGACAGGTCATGATTACACCATGTAGAGGACACATGAACAACTTCAACTATATTTATCAAGTGAAAATGATCTCAAGTCATTAAGAGAAAAGTGGCCCAGAAAAAAATTAGGCTGTAGAAGTCAAATGAAAAAAACTACAGTTTGGGGGAGAAGGGGAAAGGAAGAGAAAGAGCTGCTGAGTTACTAAAAAGAGAGCAAATCAGTGAGACAGGGAGTCTGAGCCCTCTGAGAAAGAATGAGGAAGAGAAAAGGATTCAGAAGCTTAAAGGGAGCTTCAGGAGAGAATATGGAAATGGATGGGCCTGTTAACTGTTCCAACAGAAAGAAACAATACAGGGAACTTTTCTGAGCCAGCGTTCTGGTAGTCAATAATAAAAATACCTAATTAATCCATGGCAGTTAATATGTTGTGAGCTTTGCCCTAAAGGTGTTCCACAGATTAGTCCATTTACTCCTCACAACACCCCGAATGGGCAGACACTACTGTTCTACAGATGAAGAAACTGAGACCACACACGATGCAAGGTAGCACAAGCTGGAACCAGGGCTGAGTGCTCATCCGTTTAGCTAAACTGCCTCTCTTCCAGAGCTTACAAAAACCTTTGTATTTTCTGTGGAGAGGGACCATGGCTCTCTGGAATTTCTCAAAGGAGTCTAGGCCCCAAAAAGTGATCCTAGACTTTAGAGCAAAGTTCCTTTATGGGGGTTATGAGATACTTCCAAGAGCACAAAGCTTTGGAACTCCGGAAAACACCTAGTAGACATAGATGGAGGCGTGTGGATCTTGAAAGGAGGAAAAGACAGAAAACGAGACTTAGAAGCCATCCTTCTCCTCTTAAGATACAAAGTAGAAAGCAGCCTTTCCTCTCCTCCACGAGGGTGTGACTCAGGGTCGCCACCTCCCCACAATTTGCGGCGGGGGGGGGGGGGGGGGGGAAGAGGGCGGGGACAGTGAGGGGACAGGCTTTCCTCCAGACACTCATGGGTTACTCGGCCAGGTTTGGAAGGACGGGAGGTTATAAACAGATACGACTCGGGGTGACAAGGGGGCCCCCGAGGCGCAGGGAGGGAAACCTGCCCAGGAGCACACCGCACCAGGTCTAGAGGCCCTCGTCACAGGGGCCCGTGGCTTTCCCCCAGATCTTACCCCCACAAGGCTGCAGAGGATTAGGTGGTCAGGCAGAGCTGTTCTTCCGAGCTTGGGGCACCTGTGCTTGGCGGTGGCCGGGTCCCGACGGACTCACTCGCGGGGCAGGGCTCGGAAACCTGCGGCCTGTCCAGTCAAGGCCCTGGAGTTTGAGGCCCCAGGATTACGACTGTGCGTGAGGCCTCGGCGCTGCCCAACGAGGAAGGATCAGGGCCGCCCGCGTGCCGAGCAGCAGCAGTCGCTGCAGGCAAAATTGCTGGCGGCTTCGTCCGCCCGCACCCGGCCCAGCCACTGCCCCGCTTCCCGGGCGCGAGCTTTGGCGGTGGAGCAGCACTGTGAGCACCGATTGGCCTGTGGATGAGTAGCGTCAGGCGCTTCCCCCCACGGATTGGCCAGGTCGGCGGTGCGTGCAAGGAGTAAACAAACCCCGCCCCCTAGGCTTCCCAAAGAGAGGAGGGGGCCCGCGATGAAGGGGCGGGGCCGCGAGGTGAAGGGGTGTTCTACTCCAGACCCCGCTGCACAGCGGAGTACCCTGCCTTGACCTCGCCACCTGGCTTCCCATTCTCATGCAGGGCGGGCTTCAGGCCCAAGGCCTAAAATTTATAAACACGCCCTTTGCTCTCTCCATTCCCCTAGGCTTGACTTTTCCATCTGCCCCCATACCCACGGCTCGAAAACAGGAAAACCCCATCTTTTTAGAAGGAGGGCAGCTAGGCAGTTACATCTTGGTCCCAAGGCCTTTGATGGATCTCCCCCGGGGAGCAGCAAGCAAGGGAGTAGAAACGAGTGACTGCGAGACCACGTGTGGAGCACCCTGTGATTATTCAGACAATGGATTAAAGACCACTGGGAATGTGGTTTCTTGAACAAGCAAGTAAGATCCAAACCAGGCCAAGTTACCATGTCACGTGGAAGCTGAACAGAAAATCGCAACACATAACCCCAAATACCTGTCCTTTAGTTCAATATTAAAATATTTGTATATTCTGTGCCTCGGTGAAAAATCTTGTGTGAGCTGATGTTCTAGTGGAGTGGAAAAGACAATATGCAAAAGAAATAAGCAAAATAGAAACTATGTTACATCCTGATACACGCTATAGGAAAAAATGTAAAATAAGGTATTTGAGGGATGGCTTGTGTTAAACAGGGTGCTCAGAGAGGGTGCAGAAAAGGTACCATTTAAGTAAATACCTAAAGGAGGTGAGGGAGTCTTAGAGAGCACCTTTGGACCTTTCTCGAGTGGGGTGGAGAGACCATTCCTGCATCACTGTACGTAAATAAATTCCTAGGAGTTCAAGAATGCCAAATGCAGCACTTTTCTGACTGATTTTAAAGTGATTGATTGCCTTACATTGTCCAGTAACAAATCAATAGGATTTATTTAATTTCCACAGAAATTTTGTTAAGGTTTTATGGTAACAAACATTTTTCACACACTTTAGGCACAAAGATACACAAGTAAGCAAGACAGACAAAACCTCCACCCTCAAAGAACTCAATCTAGCAAGGGAAATGGATTGTAAACCACCTCAAGTGCAATGTGTAAACAACCATAATAGAAATAGACATAGCACTTGGACCAATAGGGGTAAGGGGGAGAGGGGTGTTATTAAGGAGCTGTAACTCTCTCAGAATCTCTTTGTCTATAAAGAAAATTCAGTACTAAATTTTGGAGTAAGGCTATGGCTGTCAGGGATCATCTGACCTCTTACAAGTTTCTAGGGTGAAAGTCTAAAGATAATATTAAGTCGAACCGAATGAAATTGCTAATAGTTGGCAATTTTCATTTGACTCAGCATAGTCTCTTGTAGAGTTAACATGAGGATTTTGCTATGTAATGCATATATAATGTGTTCAATAAATGATGGTAATTATTGTGATAATTTGATATTTCTTTTGAAAAAAATGATTTAAAAGCCAATGTTTCACAACACCTTCCAGCACTATGCACAAAGTAAAATGGGCAGTGAAAAGTTCCACATTTTCTATTTTGATCTAGCTGTGTTTGATCTAGCTGTTTTCCAGTTTGATCTAGCTGTGAATTTCCATGACCTAATCAGAATATGCTGTAAAAGACACTAAATGTTAGTTTCACAGCAGGCCAAGAAATTTAGAATAAGAAACAGCTTGATTTTGAAGTCAAAAACTGAAACTACTGCAGAACAGAATAAATTGTCGAGTTGCTTCAGGAGGAAAATTTATGTAAATCAATTTTTCATTCCCACTCACAGTTCCAATTTAGCAATTTGCACAATAGTCAGCTTTTTCTCTTCCTTCTTATTTCCCCATTAAGGGATCTTATTTCCTTTGAATAGGAAAATAAAGCTCCCACCATCTCCAGTGCCAGAGAGTAGATGTTTGAAACGTGACAGAACACTTATTGATTCGGCAAACACTTATTGAATGCCAAGAACGGTGCAAGGCATTGGAAATACAAACATAAACGTCCAAAGAACTCTGTTCATGGGTGGTGTTCTTTGTGTTTGGAACAATCTTCCAGTTCACCCACACCTCACCGACATGTGCTTTCACATAAGTTTAAACAACACTTTCTCCAGAAAAGCTTCCTCTGACTCTCCATCTCCAGCTCCTTCTCATTAAATCCTGTTTGTCTTTCTAACACTCATCAAGCCTGTAATTACTCATTTGGCATCTGTATCCTGTTAGACTGCAGGCTCCTTGAGATCTGGAGCCATGTCATCCTATGCACTATCCTCGGTGCTTAAAAGAAGTTCTGTAAGTTTTTATTGAATGGATGAGAGTGCTACAGCTCAGCACAGATGGAAAGAGGAGAGAGGCAAAAAATAAATAAAATCTCTACTTGTAAATATGCGGGCCAACAGAGAGAGGGCCATGAAGAAGCAGATCTGTTACAGTTCAGCCTGAGGACTTTCTGTGTGCTGCCCCTCTCCTGGTCAAGGATGCTGCTCTCTGCAGGTGAAGCTATTGGGTTCCTGCCCCTGTCAAACTTTAATGTGCACAGCAGTCACTTAGGGATCTTACTGAAGTTCAGACTCATTTCCAACAAGTTCCCAACTGGTGCTGGTGCTGCTTCCGCACAGTTTGAGGAACAAGGGACTTAGTGGCACCTTTATTTAATTGTATGCCTTGAATTTTTTTTTTTACTTTTTAAATTAAATTTATTGGGGTGACATTGATTAATAAAATTATATAGGTGTCAGGTGTACAGTTTTATAATATATAATTGGTATATTGTATTTGGTGTTTACCACCCAAAGTCATATTTCTTTCCATCAACAGTTATTTTTTTATTTTTATTTTTTATTTATTTTTTCAAATACATTTGTCTCTGCCTACCCCCCACCACTTTCCCTTGTCCCCTCCCTTCCTTCCTCCCTCCCTCCCTCCCTCAACTCTTCCCCTTTGGTTTTGTCCATGAGTCCTTGCTATATGTTCCTTGACTTTCCCCTTCCCTTCCTTTCCCTCTCCTCCCTCCTTCCCTCTTGTCTCTGTTCGTTTCTTTTCCTTTCAGTGTTCATCAACATTTATTTGACCCCTTTTACCCTTTACTAATCTTCCTACCCCTTTTCCCTCTGGTAACCACCATACTGTTTTCTGTGGCTATGGGTTTTTGTCTGTGTGTTTGTCTTATTTCTTCATATGTTACTTTTAAAAAGTTTTGTATGTCACATATGAATGAAATCATGTGGTTAGTGGCATCTTTTTATTATACAGACAAAATTATCTGTAGTTATCTAAACAGTTATATATGATTTTTTTTTAAAAGCCTCCAGTTTTCACACCTAATTCATCCAGTGACTGATGAAAGAAATAATACTTAAAAAGAAAAATGTGTTCAATCAAGGCCTGGTCTTCCTGAGACTGTCCTGTTGTGTGCAGTTTAATCACATTGATAGGGCAAAGTAGAATCAAAACCTTGGAATTTCCTCAGCAAGGGACCCTCCTTCTCCTCAGTTCATTTCTGGCATGACTTGGTCAGGGCAGTGAAAGGATTTCAGAGTTATCCTTAATAAAAACAACTTCTTCTTAATATCAAATCTAAAACCCTTTTTATGAAAAAAATATTTTATTAGTCCTAAGAATATAAAGTAAATGGAAAGAGGTATATGGAATGATTAATGAATAACCCTTCACGTACCAGCTTAAGAAATAGAATAGTAACGCTACTGGGGCCCTGTGTGTTCTCCCCAAACGCCCCCTCTGCCTTTCCCTCCCCAAAATAACCATGTCCTAAGTTATAATTTCCTTAGTTTTCTTTATGATATTAACACATATGTATGTAACTGCAAGCAATATATTGCTTAGTTTTACATGTTTTTGCACTTACATATATTTAGGTTCAACTTTATTATTCATCTGCAAATTATTTTCTTATTTTTTCATTTTTTTTCTTTTTAGACAGAGAGAGAGAGAGGGAAGAGAGGGAGAAAGAGAGGGGGAGAAACATGAATGTGAGAGGGAAACAACGATTGGTTGTTTTTCATAGGCACCCCAACCGGGGAATGAACGTGCAACCCAGGCATGTCCCCTGACTGGGAATTGGACCTGCAGCCTCTCAGTGTCCAATCAACTGAGCCACACTGGCCAGGGCTGCAAATTATTTTTTTGCTCAACATTTTGTTTGAACAAAAAATGGCTGTAGTTCATTCATTGTCACTGAGATTGTTAAAAATAATAAAACCCACATAGTCCATCTTCTTATTGGTAAACATTTGGGGATTTTTGGTTGGTTGTTTGTTTCTATTCTGCTGTTAGGAATATTCTTGTACACCTTTCCTTTGTACATGTGAAAGTTTCCATAGGGTCTTAGTCATGTATGGTGGTGCGAGTCAAAATATTTAAAACTAGTAATTACATAATTGTTGCTTGTTCTCCTTCCTCACTCTCACTGAGACAGCTTCTTATGTACAGATAGTTCATTTTGGAAAATGATTTCAATGAACAAGACTAGGTGCTAGATAGAGTGAAACATGCAGGAAGAAAAGCTAATCTAAGGATATGCTACTGAAATGATCTCTGCTGGAGGCCACCGAGGCTTCATGGTGCAGGAGACTCTCCAAGGAGCTGTGAAGAGCACACCTCAGGTTGTTCACTCAAGTGATAAAAGAGGCTGTCTCTATACACTGGCTCCCATTCCCACTGTTTAAAAGTTACACCAAAGGGTATCAGCTCTCTAGCACTTCCCAGTTTGAATATGGGTGAAAATGGCAGAATGGGTTCAAATGAGTATTCTAAGCAGGAAGCAGAGAAAATCCCAGCTCAGAAAACAGGAGATATTGAAAGGGAAGATGCTGTTAGGTTATACCTGAGCTTCTGATTACTACAACAA